GAATAATTTTCTCATGGTTACATTAATACCCTGTGGGCGTGTCTACATGTGCATTTTTTCTAATGTGAATTAAATTTAGTACCTCTGATGTGAGGTACTAAAGACATGCACGTTAGGCTGCCTTAATGCATAGCAATGAATGTGCATGTTTTTTAAGTGACACTTTATGTGCAGTAGCTTATTTTACTGTGCATTTGCATAATCTCATAGTTTTTTACATGGCACTTTAATGCTCAGTAAAATAGGCTACAGCACATTAAAGTGCATGTATAGACACATCCTGTACATTGCTCAGAAAGCTTGAATAAGAAATGAGCTCTTCATCCTCATAAAAGAAGTGTAGGAAGTACTTATGTTACTAGATTTACCTAGCAGGGTTTGGAAGGAGAGCAAGAATCAGTTGAACATCCTCTGCATGGGAAGATGGAGATTAATGTGAAGTCAGTCTTTAAAGAGGCACCCTTCAGAACCTCTTAGAATTGTTTTAGACTGTATATTGCCTAATGGTTTAACATGGAATGATATGAGATGAGGGAGGGAAAATGTGTACGCGTTGTGTGTGGCAGTGAAAGATCCTTTTTAAATGTAAAGTGTTTGGATTTGACCAAATTTAGGATGACACAATTTTAAACTACCACATTCTGTAATAGAACATTACTGTTTTATAAAAATCTTAATTCTGTATGGGGAAAAATCTCTTTGGTTATGTTTGATACAAGACTTCTCCTTCCATTCCCTTGCCCAAATGCCTTCTCATACCCACAGGTGTTCAAAATGACTATAGTCTGGTAGTTCAGTATCCCTTCTGGAGGTACCATATGCCCAGTATATTATAACACTTTCTGTTCAAGTGTCATCCATACTACAAAGTTATTTTCAAAAGGAAGTTTGTTCTTTAAAGTTGAATTGCAAATTAAATATGAAGAGTCTGTTTGCTTCAGCATCATCTGTTCTGTGCCCAGACATAGTAGCTAACTGTGGCATTCTTTTAAAATTAAACACATATTGTTGGTTCCTTTTTTGGTTCTCCACCCTCAAGTCTGAGCCAGATGGTCACCATTAAATAATGGTGTCATGAATTGCTCCCCACCCGAGTATCAGCTGCCGAGGAAACCTGCTGGAAACACCGTGCAGATAGCCAGTCAATTACTATTTATTTTACTGCATGACATGGTTTTATGGAAGTTCTTTTTAATATTACATTCTGGGAAGGGAGGAAAAGCTGAATAGTTAATGAGTATATTTTATATACTCTGCTGAAAATAGAGTATATAAAATAAAAAATAGGGTATAAAAACTGCAAATAGAAACTTCAAGTTTAGAGAGCCTTACTCCCAACCTTCCCCCCGCAACTTCCCATGTTATTCCAATACTACCACATACACTGGAATTATTCTTGCTCATATTTATGTACTATTAGGAGTGACATTTTTAATGTCTTTAGGTCATCTTTCTGTTTCATGTCAGGCAGAGTCAGTGAGTGGCTTTTTGGCAATCTTAGGAGGCAGACTGTATAGTGTATACAAAGGAATGACATAGAAAGGGGGTGAACTTCATGAAGGAAGAAACTTTGGTAACAGTATTTGGATAGGATCAGTAGGTGCAAATCATTAGATCAAAAAGTGCAAAGGTGTACACAAGCCTGGATAGGCAGTTGGCCAAAAGGGGTAGTGTGTTTTAGGCACTTCTGTAGCAGTGGCATGAACAGGAAGGGTGTGATGTCATTAGCATCATGCCCAGCCCTTGCTGACTCCCCAGCCATAATGGCCAGGTACCCATTCACAACTGGGCCAATGGCATGAATGTAAAATGAGATTCAAACTCTTACTTCTAGAACTATAGTGAACTGCCTTAATCTGTCCACCATCATGCCTGGCAGCATTAGACAGAACATGCAATTTGAAAACTGTGCAAGAAAGTCATTTTACACTTCGTGCCGTTACTGTCAGCTGTACCTAATGGCGGAGCCCTATACTAATTTTGGTGAGATATTAATTTTGTATATGTAGAATTTGGCAGGACAAAACTTATAAAGTATTTAGGCTTTTCAAAACCGTATGATGCCTGCCTTCCACTGGGTGTATTCCATGGCATCAAAGTGTTCTCCAGGTTCTAGATACGCTACATTTGGCCTCTCTCAAAAAATCAGATGACAATAATTGTGATTAATCCATTCAATTCTGTAGCATTCTCTCCTTTTTATTTTTATATACGTGACTTTTATTAAATGCTTTGTTTTCCTACCACAACTCTTGATGGGATAAAATTCACTTGAAAGCAACAAAGTGTTTTGCCTTTCAGTTAACATCTGCTTAGCTACACTTCTCTTGTTGTATATAGCACTTGACAGCAAGACAAAGATCCTGTAAATATTCCTCTCTAGCCTTGGGATGGAAAATAGAACTTGTATTCCTCATCTGTTGATAGATTTCTCTTTTTACCAGTCTACCGTAGTTAAACAGTGTCCAAATGTCGAAGATTAGCAATTAAGAGATGTATACTAAACAAATCTGAAGGCCTCTAATGCATATTCTATGTTTGTAGTATTTCTAAGGGAACAGAACAATAGACAGTTGTTTTTCAAGAACAAAGAAATAGAAGCAGCATTTTGTCTTCAAGAAGCCTGGAGTGCAAGCATTACTCAAAAAAATATGCCACCCTTTTGAGTAAGTTGTTTGGGGTTGTTTGGGACAAGTTTTGCTCATTAAAGTAATAGTTAATTAAGAGAATCCTGGAAATAAAGATTGAGGATACTTCGTAATTCTGCTCAGAAAGTAAGATCTTGACCTTTTCCTGACTTTTTTTCTCTGTGACAAAGGTGATCCTATCCTGGTCTATTAGCAAGGACTTGCATTATTTGTTAAACGGTGCTCACAATTATAGGTGGCAGTCTCCTCTAAAACTGAACAGCCACAGAAGTGAAAGTGGCAGAGTAGGTTTGATATTATCACATGTATTAAGTGATGTGGTGTCTACTAACAGGAGATTTTGAAGTGTTAAAAAAGTGGCAGGGCACCTCAGACCAACCTTAAATTTAATTACCCTACCTGTTTGACTAGTTTTCCTTTAAAAATGACCAGATGTTTTAAATGCATAAACTTAGCAGGATCAGTCTTCACAGAAAGCCATTCGGGGCAGCATCTACACATGTACTTAGATCCCATTATAGTCTCAAATAACTCTAAGGTTGGTGCCTCAAGCCTGTATTCAAAAACAGTTCTGAAGAGGATTGAATCTATGCACTGGAGTCACACAGATCAGATAAGCAATTAAGTCCCAGTCTGAAGCACTTTGAAATTAATGGGAAGCTTCCCAGTGATTTCCATGGACACTGAATCAGGCTGTCAGTGTATACATCTTACAGCTTTTGAGTTCTCCAATTCCCTTCATGTAGAGGAAATAAAATTCATCTTTTGAAAGCTGAAATAAGTCTGTGCTGGCTAGGAAAAAAACCCACAAAACCAAACCCCAGACTCAGCCACCAGAAAACTAGGGCTTCTCCACACTCCACACCTGGGCTAGCTGTTGATTAGCTAGCTTGGCAGCAATAGCAGAGATGCATAGACCTCTGTGAGTGAGCTTGTCTGGCATCCTGGCCAGGCTTATGTAGCCTGCAGTGAAGAGCATGTGCCCCCATACCTTTACTCTTATTGTTACTTGAACTAGGTAGATTAAAGGTAGCTAAGGGAGACATGCTACAGGACACCTCCATTTGCAACATAGACATAGCCTTAGTGAAGATGCACTTTCCTTAATAGATTCTTGCCTCACATTTTCATGATTCATTTGGTGACCTCCTGTATAACATGGAGGGGTCTGGAAGGGGCACAGACTTGTTTTTTAAGTTTGTTCCTTTAATCAAGAGATAAAAACTTTGTTTTGCTGGCTTCCATTTTTCTGTAAATGTACTACCCTTCTTATAGAAAACAATAGTAATTTTCTCTTTCCTTCTTGTTCCTTGTTCTCTAGTTTCTGACATCACACCGACCAACCTTCAAGCAGTGTGCGCTAAATAGTGTATGTGGTATTGCAGGTTTGGTTTCACTTGCCTAAAAGTAGTTGTTGAAATTAAATACAGTATGCAAAAGATGTTATGGTAACAGATTTACACAGAGTGCCCTATCACCACTTTGCATTAAAATGCTTATTTTAAATTGGCTTGTGTGTTGTCCTGGCTTTGCTAAAGCAATGAAACGTGGGAGCGTGGGGTGAAATCTGAGCTAAGGGGCTGTCGTTATCTGGTGTTTTGGGCTCTCGTTATTTGGTGTTTTGAAGCTGTAACCCAGCACCGGCAAATGAAAAAAAGTAGCTAAGCCAAACGCGGTTTGGATGTTTTACCACCGCTCAGTGCTTTCAGTGGGAAATGATGAAGGGACCCCTTGTGGTACAAGGGGAAAGCCGGGGATCTGCATTTGGCTTCTGCAAACGGCCAGCCCCCACACAGCCCACTCGGGCACTTTCAAATGCACTGTGACCCAGGCAAATAACGCGTAGAGGTAAGCACTGGATTTCAGAAGCCGGTCCCTAGCAGTTGTCACTTCTAACTTCCCCGTTGTGACGAGCTCCGGCGATACAAGATACTACAACAGCCCGCCCAAGTCAGACTCTCTCCTGCCTCACGGAAAGTCCAA